TCTCATGACAATGCCATGTTCATCAAGTTTGTTTCTAAAAACCCATTTAGTTCCAATAACATGAACATTGTTAGGTCTAGGAACTAATTTGCAAACATTATTTTTCTAAAAATTATTTAGTTCATCATTCATTGCTAGAACCCAAAACTCATCTTTTAAAGTATCATTTATCTTTTTAGGTTCTATTTGAGATAGGAAGGTAACATTACCACACTCACTCAAAGCTTTTGAGCGAGTTAGAACCCCTTGTGAAGGATTCCCTATTATTTACTCCTTTGGATGATTTGGTGCAAATTTCTATGCTTTGGGGAGTTCTTCTTGCTCTTGAATGTTGTTGCTTTCTCCATCCTTTTGTGCATCTATTGAGGATGTTTTATTTAGTTGCAAAAGTTCTAATCCTCCCTCAATATCATCATCATCTTTCCTAGGCAAATCAACTTGTAAACCAATATTAGTCTCATTAAAAGTAACGTTTATAGATTCTTCAACAACAAGAGTTCGTTTGTTGAAGACCCTATAAGCCTTACTTCTAGGTACATAACCTAAGAATATGCCAACATCAATTTTTGAGTTAAATTTATCATGATGATCTTTTATGTTCAAGATAAAACATTTGCAACCAAAAATGCAAAAGTATCCAATAAAAGGGGTTTTGCCATAAAAAAGTTCATAAGGAGTTTTCTTAAGCTTTGGTCTAATCAAACACGATTAAAAAAAAAAAAAGCCGTATTGACGGCTTCCGCCCAAAAATATTTTAGTAAATCAAAGGCATTTATCATTGTTCGTGCCATCTCTTGTATGGTATGATTTTTCCATCTAAGAACACCATTTTGTTGTGGTGTTTTTGGAGCGAAAAATACATGAGTTATACCATGATATGCACAAAAATTATTGAAAAAATTATTTTAAAATTCACCACCATGATCACTTCTACTTTTAATAACTTTCAACTCTTTTTTATTTTCAATTCTTTTGACAAAATTTGAAAAATCTTCAAAACATTCATCTTTACTACCAAGAAAGATTACCCATGTAAAACGGGAAAAATTATCAATGATAACAAAAACATAGTGTTTACCTCCTAGAGAGGTAACACGCATAGAACCAAAGAGATCAATATATAATAATTGTATGGGTTTAGAAGTTGATACCTCATTAATGGATTTGAAGGTAGACTTGGTTTGCTTACCTTTAGCACAATCTTCACAAATGATATCTTTGATGAAATATAAGTTTGGTAACCCTTTTACAAGATTCTTTTTGGATAACTTGGATATCAACTCCATATTGGCGTGACCAAGTCTCTTATGCCAAATCCAAGGATTTTTATCAACCGTCGCAAGACATTTAACATCTTGATCTACTAGCTCATTCATCTAAAAAAGTGTATACATTAGATTTTCTATTAGCAATAAAAATGATTTTTTCATTTAAGCTAACAATGCACTTATCCGATTTAAAAAAATATCAAATCCTTTATCACTTAATTGGCTAATAGTAAGAAGGTTATGATTTAAGCCTCTAACCAAATAAAAACATCCTCTATTATGGGAGAAGGTGTCTTACCAATGCATCAAATACCTATAATTTTACATTTCTCACCATCGCCGAAGGAGACGTTACCTCCTTCAATCCTTGATAGGGTTGCAAAAAGCTCTTTGTTGCATGTCATATGATGTGAGCAACCATTATCAAGGTACCACATCTCTTTACATTGTGTTCGTGATGTTTCCTACATAAGATGAAGACGTAGCAACTTTAGGTACCCAAATCTTGGGTCCTTGGGTGTTAGTATACTTGGTACCTTTGGGTACCCATGTCATTCCATAATAATCATTGTTATTTTTAATCCTACAATGAGTGGAGATATGACCATGTTTCATGCAATATGTTCACACAAAATTTTTCTTGTGTGTAGAAGCATAAGATCTATGAAACCTATTTCTTTCAAAACGATGATGACGAGAATATGCATGAGGGGGTTTAATTCTTCTATTTTCAATTTCTAGCCTTTCAATTTTTGATCTTAATTGTTTATTTTCAAAATCGAGATCTCCTAACAACTCATCTTTTAGAGCAAGTGAGGATTGTAGTTGCTCAAGTTTGGAATCACAAGAAATATGTAACTTTTTAAAAGAAGAATATTCTTTTGTTATTCTTTTAAACTTAAGGTTTAACTCTTCTAATACGGTTGCTAGATCACATTGCATATAAAAAGATTCACTTTCGGCATCGGATATTACCTCATTTTCTTGAGCCATAAAGCAAATGTTGGGATCATAAAGAGCAATCTTTACTCCTTCTTCATTGCTATCCGAATCGTTTGGTTCGGATTCCTCCCATCCGGCATACATAGCTTTCTTCTTCTTGTATTTCAAGTATTTCTCTTTGAGCTTAGGGCAATCTTTGGCAATATGACTCGGTTCGTTGCATTCAAAACATTTTCCTATACGTGAAGAAAACTTATTGTTAGATCGGTTTTTAGAATTTCTATGTATTTTTATTAGTCTTGATATTCTTCTAGAGAGGTGAGCCACTTCTCTAGAATTGTCAACTTTACTATCCAAAGAGGAGGAGTTATCACTAGTTCCTTTGAGAGCAATGGTCTTCAATTTTTGGGATAGCTCCTCAATTTCCTGTGGGGGCACTTCCTCCTTCTCCTTCCCTTTAAGCTTCTTCTCATGAACTTTAAGCTTGCCAATGAGGCCATCGTGAGCTAGAGTAGTAAGATCGTGAGCTTCCTCTATGGTCGTAGCTTTGGGCTCCCACACTGGAGTCAATGAGTGAAGGATCTTATAGTTCATCTCTTGGATAGTCAATTGCTTGTCAAGACCATGCAATACATTGATGATATTAGTAAAGAGAGAAAACATAGTATCAATGGATTCATTAGGAAGTATTTTGAATAACTCATTGTTATGCATAAGCCCACTAATTTTGGACTCCTTAATTTTGGGTGTGGTTGCACACATGGAGACCTTATTGTACTCATTGGGGGTAAGGCCACAAATTAAGGCATTCATGGCCTTTGTATTGAGATTAGCTTGGAGTCTTTCTCCATTAGTCATGGTACTAATCTTGAGCTTTTCTACATATTTTTTCTCTATGATATCTAAGATGTCAAGATCAATGCAACAAAGGTAAATCCTCATTCTAGCTTTCCAATAGGCAAAATTTGTACCAGTGAAAAGTGGGGGTCTAGTGGTGGATTGTCCCTCAAACATATGCACATTCAATGAAGCCTCTATTGGATCTTTCCTCTAAGGTGGTTAGACCAAAAACAACTATAGAGACCAAGCTCTGATACCAATTGTTGGACCCTAGAGGCGGTGATTAGGGTCTTAAGGTAATAATTATGCAATAAAAATTAAGACAAGAAAAACACTATAGATAAAATCTAAAGTAAAGGAGATAAGTTTAGAAATCTTATCCAAGTGACGCGTGATGTGTTCACGAGGTTCGGTCCTCTGACCTACATCCCCGCTCCTCACTCTCGAGGAGAATCCACTACACAACCCGATTTGGAAGCCGAAACTTCTTCTACATAACGATCTCCACGAGATCTTACAACCACACAATTGATCTCCACGAGATCACACTCATAATAGTAGCAATCGCAGGAAAGACTCTCTCTTTACAGTAGCCCTATGGCAAGAAGAGAGATTGCACTTGAAGCTTGGGATGTCAAAACGAAATAGTGAATAACAAGATGAAAGTTGAAGCTCTTTGAAAATAATAAACTTGAAAACAAGAGTTTTGCAATTAAAGCTTAGATCTAAAGTAGTTAGGGTGTTGGGTATTTATAGGGAAAGAAAACAGCAGCCAAAACCGCAAAGAATCAGAAAAAATCCCCCAAAAACGGGATTTCTGATTTTGTACAAAAATACCTGTTATAGTGTTATGAGTCGACTCAGTATTGTTCATGAGTCGACTCATAAGTAGCCATTACAGGCTAAAAATTAACTTATGGTTCGACTCATAAAATTCATGAGTCGACTCATCATGCATGGGTCGACTCATGAAGTCACGGGTCGACTCAGCAGAAACAAAACACACATTCCAGCACAATTTATGAGTCGACTTATAACAGACATGAGTCGACTCAACCTAATGGGTCGACTCATGATGTTGTAAGTTGACTCATCAGAAACAATTGTAAACTACGCAGCAGTTTGTGAGTCGACTCAACACTATTCATGAGTCGACTCATAAACATATACATAGAAAATCTCAACTCTGAACCTTGTTAAAAAAATATCAAATAAATTATAAAAAATGTAAAACTTTGGGAATAGTTTATAAACATTTTGACAAACTTGTTTAAAAAGGAATTTTGTAAAAAGATACTCGTATTTGTGAAAATTATCATTTTAATAAAAGTACCAAAATATGAGTTTTGAAATAGTGCAAGTGTGTGTGATATCCCAAATAGCTTTGAATGAAATCTATAACTACTTGTCTACGTTTAAGTACTAGAGAGAAAATAAAATAGCAAATATCTCTCACATAGAAATACATTTCTCGAGTCTTGATATTGCTTTAGAGTTGATGAAGCTTTTTAAAGTATATAGTGTTCTTGATAAACATTGCTTCATCACTTTGCCTCCACCTCCTTTAGATATTGACGTTGTAGCTCATATTCTATCCAATCCTCCATAAATGGTCCTAACTAGCTTGATATTTATATTATCTACAATAACACTCAATAAACAATTAGTACCGATAATGGTGGTTGTAAATCATCATCAAAATATAAGGGCTAACAGAAATGAGTTAAAATGTGAATTTTTAATTAGTTTTATGAAATGAATCTAAAATTTACTATGGAAGCAAACAAAAAGCGAAAAGGGAACAAATCCAGACATACGTACATGAACAAATCCAACAACCTGTCCTCAAGAAACGCCACATGTATCCAGACATATGTTTAGCTACAAATTACATGACAAATTAATCATGAGATATGGCTTTGTGCTATGATGTTTAATGAAAAAAATATATTAATTGTACCTTGGCAAGTTGACTTTACAGCTAGTTCTATAATGCCCAAGTTCACCACATTTGCTACATATACATTTCTTTCTTTCTTTCTTTTCTTGTGCTTGTTCTAAACCTGACTGGATTCTAGTAGCATTGTGTGGATGACCTTTAGTCCTTGCAGGTTTATCAGGATCACGAACTATAATCTGAGGAATGTGCTCCATTCTATGTGAATTGGATGCGGAAATCTGAGGAATATCCACCATTTGATCTTGAATTTGTCCAACCTCTTCTTCAAGTGATTCTATAAAATTTGTTAGCACATCATCTAGTTTTTGCATCTTCTCTTCTGAATCAAATGCAAGCTCGACTGCATTATTGAATTTTACTCTTAAAGCCCAAGATTTCAATAAATTAATCTTCTCTTCACAACTTGTGATGTTTCTTCCAAATACAATGTTACCAACCCTAATGTTACGATGCCGAGCATGTATAGTCCAATGATAGAGGATGTAATGGTCGGGTAATGAATCCATTTGCCTAGCCATCATTAGTGACAATATATGTCTATATACATCACTATTAGTTTCAAACAAAGCACAAGTGCAACAGAACTGTATTTGACTGGATTGTTCATAAGTAACCACCTCCTGTTTTCCTCTATTTGTAAAATTACAGATCTTGTATTCAACAATGTCCCCATCTTTTCTCAATTCTTCACAAAACTCTGTACCAAATCCTATGAATTTAGTTTTGAACACATCAAACATATTGCATGTATATATTTCTCTAGCTTGGACCTCAATTGGATGTCCAATGAGCATGACAGACTTTATATTAAGACTCTTAAAATCTTCATGGACTTCACTTAAGCGACGATGAGTTACTGCTTTTTCATATTGTGTCACAAACTCATGTAATAGAGTCTGTGAGTTAACATACCCATAAAAATGCATTAATACTTTCACTCACTGGGCTCGATCTCATTCCAGCAAAAACAGTGTCCTTTAGATAACATGGCACCCAATGTTCTCGACATTTGAAAACTATTTACAACCACCCCTCCCCTTCTTCATTTATATCAAACTTCTCCTTCATCTCAAGCGAATATCATTCACATTGTTCAATTGAAGAACTATTATACCATAAGCCCCAATAACTTTGAAATTGTTCACCATAACGAGACCCCAAAGTAGGCAAATGATTAGTAATGTGCTTTTACATGTGCCAATAGCAATAATGGTGTATTGTCATTGGAAACACAAAGTGAATAGCATTACACATTGCTCTATCCTGATCTATTATAATAGCACCCGGTTCAACCCCATGCATGCATTTCAGCCATTCTTGAAATAACCACACAAAGGTATCTTTCTGCTCATCGACTAATAATGCAAAACCGAGTAAAGTGGACTGCCTATGGTGATTTACACCAGTAAATGGAGCAAATAGAAGACTATACTTATTAGTTCTGTATGTCACATCAAACATAATAACATCACTGAATTGTAAATAAGATGCTTTTGATCTTCCGTCAGCCCAGAAAACACTCCTCATTTGTCCACTACTGTCTACTTCTATTGCAAAATAAAATTCTAGATCATTCGCTGTCGTACTCTGAAAATGTCGAATGATAGATATGTATTCATGGCCAATATTGTTGACTCTTTGGGTTCTGATATGATCAATGTACTGTTGTGATTTCACTAATTCACCTTCTCTTCCATTGGTTGCATTGATGATGCGAGAAATAGTGGAAGGAGGCATACCTTCTTCTCGCAGACTATCAATAAGTTTTTTACATTAAGTTTTATTGATTTGTTGATGTGATCTGTGCATTTTTGCTTTGTCTGGACTACTCAACACATAATTTGTATATTCTTCAACAAATCCTGTGACCTCCCACGATTTGTCCTCTAATAATTTAACTCGCATCATTGCCTTACATCACACTCGGGTCTCTCGCCGAAAAGGGTGATCTATCTTGTCTCTATTAGATCTATAGCCCTCCTTATCACGAATAAACTTTCTGTCTACCACTTCTCTAGTCTTGCGAGAGTAATTTACCGTGCTCTTCTATATTCCAAAGCCCATCAACAATGCATAAGAGTTATAATAGTTATAAGCTTCTTCATAACTATTAAACTTCATTCTTAGTAGTGGTTTAGGAGCATTTACACTATTGACCATAATTTCACTTCCAATAGCACTTGATTCTCCCATTTTGAACTCTACACTAGTTGAATTTGTTTCCTCCATTTCTAACTCTTAAAGAAGAAAAGAAATTCAAGCAAAACAAATTTAGTATTTGTAAAAACTTTAATTGTTGTATAAAATGCTAAAATAATTATAACCTAATACAACAAAGAAGATTGAATTACAACCAGAAAAATATTATAGATTGAACATACAATCTTTAGAAACCAATGATATTGATTTATGTTAAGTAGTGATATTAAGAAAAAAATTTCAGCACAACCAATTAAAGAAAAAAAAAGACCCATTAAACCAATTTCAGCACAACCAATTTCAGCATAGTCCAATCAAAGGGATCGAGGGATAGATCGAGAGTGAGGGTTCGAGTTAGTACCTACATCGGTGTTGGTGTCAAGAGAGGAAGGAGGGAGGGTCTTTGATGGGGAAGAGCCGTTGGCGTCAGTATCGAGAGAGGGAGGAGGGAGGGTCTTCGACGAGGGAGCTTAGAGTCGACGTCAGTGTCAAGAGATGGGGAAGGGAAGGTCTTTGACAGGGGAGCTCAACATTGATGTCGGTCATTGAGAGAGAGACCAGGGAGGGTCTGCAACGTTGGAGCTCGACGTCGGCGTCGATCGTTGAGAGAGGGAGGAGGGAGGGTCTTCGACGGGGAGAGAGCAAGATCTGGTTCACAGGGATCGAGAGGGAGAGAGAGAGATAGCTTCACAGGGATTTGAGAGATCTAGCTCTAGTTTTGGGATAGGCTTTTTGCAGAGTTGTGGCTGGGGTTGAAGAGGGGAGGAGGGTGGAGGGGGTGAGGTTTGGGGAGAGAAAGGGTCCTGCAGCTCACAGGGTTTTCCTGGGGAGTTGGGTCAAGAGAGAGAGAGAGAGAGAGAGAGAGAGAGAGAGAGAGAGAGAGAAGGGTCACGAGAAGTGGGATTTTTTTCAAAAACCCCCCTGTAGTACACGTAAGGGAACACTGCCAGCGCTTCCCCAGTTATATATATATGTTAGGAGAGTGCATATGTAACCTTGTCAAGCATCACGTAGCATAGGACAACTTCTTAATTAGGTAGATAACTTCAGGCTTTATTGTTTAGAAACTTTTATGAGTATCCATATATGTGTGTATAGGAGTGAGTGGGACCTTAGACTTACATTTCAGCACAAAGGAACTGGCATGTACGGTAAGTAACTTTTCCTTGTTTTCTCTCAATTTGTTGAGAGTTTGATTATTTACCTTCTTGAAAATCCCATGTGCAGTTATACCTAATAGAATTACTTCATGTGTAGGTTGATTGGCAGTTATTGTTTATGGCTACACCTTTGTTTGTTCACTTCAATATTATACTATTGACACCCGGAAGTTGATTGTGATATGATGAGTCATATCTTATTTCGATGACTCTATTGCCTTGATTGGTGATACTTGTTATTTATTGTTGATTTAATACTCCATATTTATGGATTAATGCCCTTTACGTGAGGTAGCTCACTGGTGGATGATAAATAAAATAGTCCTAATGGACATTGCCCTTTATGCTAGGAAGCTCGTCAGTGGGTGTTTTATTTGAGGGCATGCACGGTTTATTGACATATCCCATAATTGGGAAAGTTAGAGTTCAGAATATTGAGCTTGATTATTCACTAATTGATATTAGCATGTTTCTTTACGATCATCGAATTATATTCTAAGCTTTAGTAATTCGTTATTGATATTTGTAAGTTTCTATTTGAATGATTACACTTTCTTTCCTTCCTAACTATTATTGTACTTCTGATATTTATTTTTGGTTGCCTATTGAGCCTTAGACTCACCCCTATTATTTTCTACATCCATCTGTAGGTACTAATCTAGTTAAGGGGAGGGGATCGCAAACACCAATGAAGATTAGCTCAAGCTTAGTTAAAGTAGAAGTAACATTTTGCATATATTTTTTTGGTGGTTCTATTTTTGAGCAGTTGGACATGTAAGGATGTATTTTGTAGCTCTATGATTAGACTATGTGGTGTAACATTGTTCCCTTTAGTTTTTTTTGCTGCTGTTCTGGTATTTTGTGAACTCTATTATCAACCTTGTGATTCTGGGTGTTGTATATATTTCTTCTACTTTACCCTGCTATTTGGTACTATTGATTGGATAGGAATGTACATAAGAATTGAGCAGGTTGACTCTCCATATTATAGTCAGATCATGCCTAATTTTTATGTACATCCTGTGCCCCGCCTTGGTCGATTTTTAGCAGTCATTACATGCCGGCCTCGTCATGTGCCATTTAGGTCTTGGGGTGTGATAAATAGAGTTAGTTCATAATCAATCTTGAGTTTGATAATAAAGAGAATTATCTGTTTAGTTAGTAAATTGTTAGCATGTCAATCTGACAGTTGACAAAGTTCAATGTGTAAACTTCTAATGATCAATCTAAAATATACAGAAAAAATGAATTATCAATCTAAAACTTGAAACATCCAAAACATAAACACAGCCACTCTTCCTCTTCAAAATCAAAAGTAAACCATAATGTTCGACAATGGCAATAAACAAGCTCCTTCAGTGCCAGTACTTTCCTCTGCCTATTCAACAAAACTCAGTTCTTCCTCTTCCTCTGTACCTACAACAAGGCTTGACATCAAGACGAGGCTTGCTACGTAATGAGGCTCAGCATCAAGACGAGGCTCGCTACGCAGCAAGGCTCGACATCAAGGATGAGATTCGCCAATGCAGCAAAGCTCGTCACCCACATTAAATCAGATTGTAATGGCCCCAAAGACCCAGTCAGCTACATGGGCTAAATCTCGGGAGTCAGTTACGCCCACGACCCCATGATTGTAGTACGTCAGTTACGTGCTAAAACTCTATAAATAGCCTCAAGCAGCTATGAAGAAAGTACCTTTTGGAAAATCACATTTTGAAGGATTAGAGATTGCAAGCACAACTCTCGTTGACAAGCCTAAGACCCAAATTTCGGTCCTTATAGCCTAGGCATTGTCAGAAGCAATCTCGATTCAAGCATCGAGTGAAGCATACTCTCGCCACCTAGAACCCACCTCAAACAAAAGAGAAGTCAAAATCAATCTTCTCTTCCTCTGTAATCGAGAGAGTGAGTGATTGTAAGGAATTCATACCAAGTGATCGAACCCATTCTTAAAACAAGAATCAATCAACTTTAATTTTTTTGACCCTACAGAAGATGGCGATCATAGTGGGAGCAACCGTTCTTTCCGACGAACTGGTGGTAGCACAATCAGATTAGATTGCAGTGGGAACTAAGATCGAAACTCTTATCATTGAGTTCGACCAATCTAAGTATGAGGAGTTCCTCTCCTCTAGAACTTTGAGTCCTACGAAGGCACAAAAGTGCCGTAAAGTCTCTTATGAGACTTCAGCCCATGTGGCTACTGATGATTCAACTCGAGTTAGTCTCGAGAAGAAATCTTTGCCTCCCAAAGAGGAGGCTCCGAAAACTAGCCATCAGGCTAAGAAGTAGGTTGTCAAACAACCTAATCGAGCTTCAGTTTCTACTAATCAACTTAGCCAAACTCCACTATTGTTGTTGAACCTCACCCAGTCTTGATTGAGGTAGGATTTGTTGTTGCTCCACTTTTGAGACATGCACGACAATGTCAACAACAGAATCAAGCTCGTCGAAAGGCTCGAGCCTTGGTCTCGTTGGACGGTTTCCACTATCGACCAAAAGGAGATAAATCCGAGGGTCGATTGCCTGAGGAACGTTCAAATGACGAACCTCATCCCCACACCCAA